GAATTCTCAGGGAAGGTAGTGGCAGAAATCAATGGGGTGCGGGGTCTCCCCCCCGCCCCCCCTCCCCCGCCCTCCCCCCCCCCCCTCCTGGGCCGGGAGGGTAGTGGGCAGACACCAAAAGACAATCCTCAACTAAAACGGGGCGTTGGTTCCCGCCCCTCCCCGCCCCCCTCCCCCACCCTCCCCCCTCCCTCCCCCTCCCCACCCGGTGCCTCCTCCGGAGGGTGGCACGAGTCTCACGGGGGGTAGTGGGCAGACACCAAAAAACAATCCTCAACTAAAATGGGGTGTGGGGCTCCCCCGCACCCCTCCCCACCCTCCCCCCCCACCCGGTGCCCCCTCCGGAGGGTCCCCCCCCTCCCTCCCCCCCTTCCCTCCCCCGCTCCCTTCCCTCCCCCTCGCTCTGCCCCTCCCACCCCCCTCCCAAACCCGCTCACTTAGACCGCAACCAGCGTGGAGTGCCAGGTGCGTATCCTCAAGAAGAAAAAGGCCGGGAGCGGGAACGAAGCCGTGCAGGCTCGCCTGCATGGTGTCCCAGGTACGTGGTCCCAACCCCAAGAAGACCGACGTGAGGAGGTGAGCGCTGATTATCCTCAACCAATGTGGGGTCCCAGGTGCGTGGTCTCAGTCGAAGAAGGCGGAGGCAGGGACGAGGCCGGAGCACTTATCCTCACCCAATATGGGGTCCCAGGTGCGCGGTCTCAGCCCGAAGAAGGCGACGAGGCCGGAGCGCTTTTCCTCAACCAATATGTTCCAGGCGCGTGCTCGGAGGCGGGAGCGCTTATCCTCAACCAAGATGGGGTCCCAGGTGCGTGCTCTCGCGGACCAGGCCGGCGCAATATGGGGTTCCAGGCGCGTGGTCTCAGCCCGAAGAAGGCGGAGGCGGGGACGAGGCCGGAGCTGGGGTCCCAGGTGCGTGCTCGGCAGGGACGAGGCCGGAGCGCTTATCCTCAACCAATATGGGGGCCCAGGTGCGAAAGCGGAGGCGGGGACGAGGCCGGAGCGCTTATCCTCGACCAACGTGGAGTCCCAGGTACGCGATCTCGGCCCGAAGAAGGTGAAGGTGGGGACGAGGGCGGAGCACTTATCCTCAACCGATATGGGGTCCTAGGTGCGTGCCCTACCGCAGCGTGCATCAGTGCCAGGTGCTTGCAGCCAGAAGAAGGCGAGCTTCAAGAGGAGGCGACAACAAGCTCGAAGGACTTACTCTCAGAATACGTTCTCGGCGCGTGGTCTCAACCTGAAGAAGACAGAGGCGGCGACAAGGCCGGATCGCCTATCCTCAACTGTCATGGGTTCCCAGGTTCGTGGTCTGGAGAGAACAGAAGCCGAGACCAGGCCGGAGTGCCTATCCTCAATCAAGATGGGGTCCCAGGTGCGCGGTCTCAACTTGAAGAGGATGGAGGCGGGAACCAGGCCGGAGCACTTCTCCTCAACCAAAACCGGGTCTGAGGTGCGTGGTCTCAACTCGAACAGGACGGAGGCGAGGAGAGGCCGGAGTGCCCATCCTCAACCAAGATAGGGTCCCAGGTGCATGGTTTCATCTTGGAGAAAAGAGAAAGGACGAGGCCTCAACCAATATGAGGTCCGAGGTGCGTGACCCCAGCAAAAAGACGACGGAGGCAAGGACAAGGCCGGGGTTCGAAGTGCGTGTCCCCAGGAAGCTCAAGCTGAAGAAGACAGAGGTAAGAACGAGGCCGGGAGGGCTTATCCTCAACCAATATAAGTTTCCGAGGCAAGGACAAGGCCGGGAAGGCCCATCCTCAACCAACATGGGGTTCCGAGGTGTGGAAGTTCAAGCTGAAGAAGACACAGGTAGGGACAAGGCCGGGGGGGGGCTCATCCTCAACCAGTATGGGTTTCCGAGGCGTGGAAGCTCAAGCTGCAGAAGGGCAAGGACAAGGCCGGGAGGGTGTATCATCAACCAATATGGGTTTCCAAGACGTGGGGTCTCAAGCTGCAGAAGCGCAACGACAAGGCCGGGAGGGTTTATCCTCAACTAGTACGGGTTTCCGAGGCGTGGAAGCTCACAAGTCGAAGAAGACAGAGGCAAGGATAAGGCCGGGAGTGTTTATACTCAACCGATGTGGGTTTCCGGGGTATGGAAGCTCCAGCCGAAGAAGACAGAGGCAGAGACAAGGCGGGAAGGCTTATCCTCAACCGGTATGGGGTTCCGAGGTGGGGAAGCTCAAGCCGAAGAAGACAGAGGCAAGGACAATCCAAGGTATGGAAGCTTGAGCCTCAACCAATGTGGTTGCCGAGGTGTGTGGTCTCAGCGACAAGGCCGAGAGAACAATCCTCAACTAAAATGGGGTGTGGGGTCTTCCCCCCGCCCCCCTCCCCCTGAGCGCCCTCCCCCCTCCTCCTGGGGCGGGAGGGTAGTGGGCAGACACCAAAAAACAATCCTCAACTGAAATGGGTGTTGGTTCCCACCCCTCCCCGGCCCCCTCCCCCACCCTCCCCCCTTCCCTCCCCCTCCCCACCCGGTGCCTCCTCCGGGGGGTGGCACGAGTCTCACGGGGGGTAGTGGGCAGACACCAAAAAACAACCCGCAACCAAGTGGGGTGTGGGTTCCCCTTCCCCCGCACCCCTCCCCACCCTCCCCCCCCCCTCCCCCCCACCCGGTGCCCCCTCCGGAGGGTCCCCCCGCTCCCTCCCCCCCTTCCCTCCCTCCCCTTCCCTCCCCCGAACCCCGCACCGCAAGGCAGTGACCTCCCCACCCTCCTCCCCTCCAACCCGCTCACTTAGACCGCAACCAGCGTGGAGTGCCAGGTGCGTATCCTCAAGAAGAAAAAGGCCGGGAGCGGGAACGAAGCCGTGCAGGCTCGCCTGCATGGTGTCCCAGGTACGTGGTCCCAACCCCAAGAGACCGAAGTGAGGAGGTGAACGCTGATTATCCTCAACCAATGTGGGGTTCCAGGTGCGTGGTCTCAGTCGAAGAAGGCGGAGGCAGGGACGAGGCCGGAGCACTCATCCTCAACCAACATGGGGTCCCAGGTGCGTGGTCTCAGCCCGAAGAAGGCGACGAGACCGGAGCGCTTATCCTCAACCAATATGTTCCAGGCGCGCGCTCGGAGGCGGGAGCGCTTATCCTCAACCAATATGGGGTCCCAGGTGCGTGCTCTCGCGGACCAGGCCGGCGCAATATGGGGTTCCAGGCGCGTGGTCTCAGCCCGAAGAAGGCGGAGGCGGGGCCGAGGCCGGAGCTGGGGTCCCAGGTGCGTGCTCGGCAGGGACGAGGCCGGAGCGCTTATCCTCAACCAATATGGGGTCCCAGGTGCGAAAGCGGAGGCGGGGACGAGTCCGGAGCGCTTATCCTCGACCAACGTGGAGTCCCAGGTACGCGATCTCGGCCCGAAGAAGGTGAAGGTGGGGACGAGGGCGGAGCACTTATCCTCAACCGATATGGGGTCCTAGGTGCGCGCCCTACCGCAGCGTGCAATCAGTGCCAGGTGCTTGAAGCCAGAAGAAGGCGAGCTTCAAGAGGAGGCGACAACAGGCTCGAAGGACTTACTCTCATAATACGTTCTCGGCGCGTGGTCTCAACCTGAAGAAGACGGAGGCGGCGACAAGGCCGGATCGCCTATCCTCAACTGTCATGGGTTCCCAGGTTCGTGGTCTGGAGAGAACAGAAGCCGAGACCAGGCCGGAGTGCCTATCCTCAAGCAATATGGGGTCCCAGGTGCGCGGTCTCAACTTGAAGAGGATGGAGGCGGGAACCAGGCCGGAGCACTTGTCCTCAACCAATATCGGGTCCGAGGTGCGTGGTCTCAACTCGAACAGGACGGAGGCGAGGAGAGGCCGGAGTACCTATGCAAGGACAAGGCTGGGAGGGCCCATCCTCAACCAACATGGGGTTCCGAGGTGCGGAAGTTCAAGCTGAAGAAGACACAGGTAGGGACACGGCCGGGGGGGGGGGCTCATCCTCAACCAGTATGGGTTTCCGAGGCGGTGAAAGCTCAAGCTGAAGAAGACAGGGGCAGGGACAAGGCCGGGAGGGCTCATCCTCAACCAATATGGGGTTCCGAGGTGTGGAAGTTCAAGCTGAAGAAGACAGAGGCAGGGACAAGGCCGGGGGTGAGCCATCCTCAACCAATATGGGTTTCCGAGGCGTGGAAGCTCAAGCTGAAGAAGGGCAAGGACAAGGCCGGGAGGGTTTATCATCAACCAATATGGGTTTCCAAGACGTGGCGTCTCAAGCTGCAGAAGCGCAACGACAAGGCCGGGAGGGTTTATCCTCAACCAGTATGGGTTTCCGAGGTGTGGAAGCTCACAAGTCGAAGAAGACAGAGGCAAGGCCGGGAGGGCTTATCCTCAAACCAATGGGTTTCCGAGGCGTGGAAGCTCAAGCTGAAGAAGAATATCCTCAACCAATATGGGTTTCCGAGGCGTGGAAGCTCAAGCTGAAGGAGACGGAGGCAAGGACAGGGCCGGGAGAGCTTCTCCTCAACCAATATGGGTTTCCGAGGCGTAGAAGCTCAAGCTGAAGAAGACAGAGGCAAGGACAAGGCCGGGAGGACTTATCCTCAACCAATATGGGTTTCCGAGGCGTGGAAGCTCAAGCTGAAGAAGGGCAAGAACAAGGCCGGGAGGGTTTATCCCCAACCAATATGGGTTTCCCTCAAGCTGCAGAAGGGCAACGACAAGGCCGGGAGAGTGTATCCTCAACCAATATGGGTTTCCGAGGCGTAGAAGGCTCAAGCTGAAGAAAAGAAGAATATCATCAACCAATATGGGTTTCCGAGGCGTGGAAGCTCAAGCTGAAGGAGACGGAGGCAAGGACAAGGCCGGGAGAGCTTCTCCTCAACCAATATGGGTTTCCGAGGCGTAGAAGCTCAAGCTGAAGAAGACAGAGGCAAGGACAAGGCCGGGAGGACTTATCCTCAACCAACATGGGTTTCCGAGGCGTGGAAGCTCAAGCTGAAGAAGGGCAAGAACAAGGCCGGGAGGGTTTATCCCCAACCAATATGGGTTTCCCTCAAGCTGCAGAAGGGCAACTACAAGGCCGGGAGAGTGTATCCTCAACCAATATGGGTTTCCGAGGCATGAAGGCTCAAGCTGAAGAAGACAGAGGCAAGGACAAGGCCGGGAGAGTGTATCCTCAACCAGGAGAAGACAGAGGCAAGGACACGACCGGGAGGGCTTATCCTCAACCAATATGGGTTTCCGAGGCGTGGACGCTCAAGCGGAAGAAGACAGAGGCAAGGAGGAGGCCGGGAGGGCTTATCCTCAACCAATATGGGTTTCCGAGGCGTGGACGCTTAAGCGGAGGAAGACAGAGGCAAGGAGGAGGCCGGGAGGGCTTATCCTCAGCCAATATGGCTTTCCGAGGCGTGGACGCTCAAGCGGAAGAAGACGGGGGCAAGGACCAGGCCGGGAGGGCTTATCCTCAACCAATATGGGTTTCCGAGGCGTGGAAGCTCAAGCGGAAGAAGACGGGGGCAAGGACGAGGCCGGGAGGGCTTATCCTCAACCAATATGGGTTTCCGAGGCGTGGAAGCTCAAGCGGAAGAAGACGGAGGCAAGGACGAGGCCGGGAGGGCTTATCCTCAACCAATATGGGTTTCCGAGGTGTGGAAGCTCAAGCCGAAGAAGACGGTGTGGAAGCTCAAGCTAAACAAGACAGAGGCAAGGACACGGCCGGGAGGGCTTATCCTCAATACGGAGTCCCATTCAGGCGAACACTGAAGGAGACGGAGTCGCCGAAGGCGAGCCATGGAGTATCCGCGCTCGCAAGCGGGACAATTGCAAAAGGATATCAGAGAAAGAGACCATCACTGAGCATGTAGTGCAGCCAGACGCATGCAGGAGTACCTGCTCCCAGCAGCTTATGAACGCAGCTCTTGTTCATTGAGCAATTCCTAGCCAGCGGTCCCCCTCGGAGAAGCTATGGCGACAGGGACAATCTGTTTCGAGAGATCGGAAGGTATACTGCGGTGCTGCGCCCGCACCTGAGGATGTGTCGCGGGAAACTACTTCTCATTTACTCGGCTTTGTTTTTACGCCAGGAGTGCAAGGAATATGCCCGATACTTGGGCATCGACCCCGGATACGAGGGAGAAGAGACACACAACGCGATGTTGTGCCCGAGCCTCGGACGCTCTACGAGTGAGGAGTCCTGATATGCCGTTTACCTTTATCGAGGCCCTCCCTGTGCACGCCGACTCGGGTTGTGTCCGTCGGGGCCTTAAGAAGCGCTCGTGATGTCTCTGCTGAACACGATGGCGCTGCAGGCCCCGCCGCCGTGACAGAGCCGGGAAACCGGAGCGCGAAGCTCCGAGCCCGTTGGACAGCATCAAGAGCCAACTGGGCGTCAGGGGCCGAGCAACGCACACCAAGCCAGCATCTGCCGACGGTGGTTGACGCTAGTTGCGCTAGGCCTGTGCCACCGTCGAAGAGAAAAGAAATCTTCTCAGGAAGAATGGGTGGGCAGGCCAGCAAGCAAGAGCGAGAGAACAGAACCTGCACACTGACGTGCAACCAGGATACAGTTGGCAAAGGGTGCCGCACGGCGCGTGGATACCCTGGTGGTATCTTTCGGACAGCATTTGTTTCTGGGAAGAGGATGTCTTCCAGGCCGGACCAGCACAACGAAGAAGAACATGCGGGCACGTCCCTGCCACAGCACAGCCCAGGAGGCCACGGCAGCCGTCTGAGCGCCAGGTCCGGCGATAAGAACCTCTTCCCTTGAGAGTCCAAAAGGTGCACGGGAAGCACTTGCATCACGCGCATGCACTCTTGGGGTATGCCCGATGACTACGAGCGACTCCTATCCGACGCAGCTGTTATTCAGCATTCAGTAGACACATACGGGGAGATATAGCATGGTCTCAACCCGAGGAAGGCAGGGGCGGGGTCGAGGCCAGGGCGTTTATCCTCAACCAATATGGGGTTCCAGGCACGTGGGCTCAACCCGAGATGAAGACGGAGGCGGGGACGAGGCCGGAGCGCTTATCTTCAACCCACGTATACTCAACCAATATGGGGCTTCAGGTGCATGGTCTCAACCTGAGAAGAACACGGAGGCGGGGATCAGGCCAGAGATATCCTCAACCAATATGGGTTTCCGAAGTCTGGGATCTCAGGCCGGAGGCGGGGACGTATCCTCAACCAAGATGGGGTTTCAGGTGCATGGTTTTAAGCTGAGAAGACGGCAGAGGCGGGGACGAGGCCGGAGCGCTTGTCCTCAACCAATATGGGGTTTCAGGGAAAGCGAAGGCGGGGACAAGGCCGGAGCGCTTATCCTCAACCAAGATGGGGTCCCAACCCGAAGAAAGCAGAGGCGGGGACGAGGCCAGAGCGGTTACCCTCAACCAATATGGGGTTCCAGGTGTGATGTGACGTCTCGCAGACCGAAGAAACTGGAGGCGAGGACGAGGCCGGAGCGCTTACCCTCAACCAATATGGGGTTCCAGGTGTGACGTCTCGCAGCCCGAAGAAACTGGAGGCGGGGACGAGGCCGGAGCGCTTACCCTCAACCAATATGGGGTTCCAAGTGTGACATCTCACAGCCCGAAGAAGGTGGAGGCGGGAACTACGGGGTCCCAATCCGGAGAAGGCGAAGGCGGGGAAGAGGCCGGAACGCTTATCCTCAACCGATCCAGCACGCTTTTCCGCAACGTCCCAGGTGCGTGGTCTCAACCTGAAGAAAGCGGAGGGGACGAGGCCGGAGGGCTTATCCTCAACCAATATGGGGTCCCAACCCGAAGAAGGCGAAGGCGGGGACGAGGCCGGAGCGCTTATCCTCAACAAAAAAAGGGTCCGAGGTGCGTGATCTCAGCCCGAAGAAGACGGCGGCGGGGAGACCGCAGCACTTCTCCTCAACCAACATGGGGTCGCAGGTGTGAAGTCTCATCCCGGAGAAGGAGGAGGCGGGGACGAGGCCAAAGCGATTATCCTCAACAAATCTGGGGTCCGAGGTGCGTGATCTCAGCCCGAAGAAGACGGAGGCGGGGAGACCGCAGCACTTCTCCTCAACCAACATGGGGTCCTAGGTGTGAAGTCTCATCCCGGAGAAGGAGGAGGCGGGGACGAGGCCAAAGCGCTTATCCTCAACCAATATGGGGTCCTAGGTGCGTGTTCAGACAGCCCGAAGAAGGCGGAGGCAGGGACCGGGCCGGAGCGCTTATCCTCAACCACTATGGTGTCTCAGGTGCGTGGTCTGGCAGCCCGAAGAAGGGGGAGGCGGGGTATCCTCAACCAATATGGGCTCGCAGGTGCGTGGTCTCACAGCCCGAAGAAGGCGGAGGCGGGGACGAGGCCGGAGCGTTTATCCTCAACCAAGATGGAGGTTCAGGTGCACGGTTTTAAGCTGAGAAAACGGCGGAGGCGCGGACGAGGCCGGAGAGCTTGTCCTCAACCAATATGGGGTTTCAGGGAAAACGAGGCCGGGAGTGTGGAAGCTCAAGCGGAAGAAGACACGGGAGTGTGGAAGCTCAAGCGGAAGAAGACAGAGGCAAGGACGAGGCCGGGAGGGCTTATCCTCAACCAATATGGAATTCCCGAGGTGTGGAAGCTCAAGATGAAGAAGACAGAGGCAAGGACGAGGCCGGGAGGGCTTATCCTCAACCATTATGGGTTTCCGAGGCGCGGAAGACAGAGGCAAGGACGAGGCCGGGAGGGCTTATCCTCAACCAATATGGGGTTCCGAGGTGTGGAAGGGCTTATCCTCAACCAATATGGGGCTTCCGAGGTGTGGAAGCACAAGCTGAAGAAGACAGAGGTAAGGACGAGGCCGGGAGGGCTTATCCTCAACCAATATGGGGTTCCGAGGTGCGGAAGCTCAAACTGAAGAAGTGCGTAGTCTCAGGTGCGCGGTCTCAACCCGAAGGAAACGAGACTCGGGCCAAGGCCAGAGGGTTTATCCCCAACCAATCGCAGTCTCAGGGGCCTGGTTGTGCAAAGAGCTATGTGTGTCGACACGCGAAGCTGTTGCCCAAGAGAACTTGCCCAAGAGCGACAAGGCTCGCCGAGACCTGCGCAGTGTCCAACAGGACCCCGCCATGTTGTCAGAGCAGTCTTCAGGGCGATACATCGTCAGCGACGACGTGGAGCTGCCAGAGGATCGCGTCCAGTACAGCGACGTGAACCTACTTCGACAAGCCCTCCTCGACGCCCGTGAGTTCCTTCGCTCAGGCTATACGGAAATCCACTTCCGAGTCTGGAGGCGCGACGAACCGATGAAGCTTCTCTGCGCACGGAGTGCCAAGCAGCATGAGGGCACGATGGAACTCTACCTCACCTACGAGGACGGCGGCGAGGAAGAGGGCCTGCTGCATCCGGCAGGAACCGGTTGCACCGGACCGTTGTTCGCGTTTGCCAGCAGACGCCAAGACGGCATTCCAGCTCCTCGACGACGGCTGGGACGTGCTCATACAATCTTCTTCTTCAAGAACGATCTGGTGGAGTGGACGGCGGCTCGCGGCGAGAGAGAACGTTTTAGTGTCACCAGAGTAGTTTTAGACTGCGCAATGCGCTGAACGGCTCGAGCTTCACTCACCTAGGCGAGGCAAAAAGGTGCAAGGAGGGCCTGGTGCATCACATGCGGCCGCGCTCCTCCATCATGTCGCAGTCGGGCATACAGGTGCTCAGTCTCAGCGGGAACAACGTTGGAGGCGGAGACACGGACGAGTCCCGAAGGCTCGCATGCCGAGAGATTCGCCTATCCTCAACCAATACGGCGTCGCAGGTACTCCGGAAGCAAGGCCAGAGCGCTATGGGGCTCGGGGTCCGCGGTCCCAGCCCGAAGAAGGCCGCCGGAACGAGGCTGGAACGTTTATCCTCAACCACTGTGGGATTCGAGATCAGCAGCCCAGAAGCCGAAGAAGGCGAAGGCGGGGACGAGGCCGGAGCGCTTATCCTCAACCAAGATGGGGTTTCAGGTGCTTGGTCTGAAGCTGAGAAGACGGCGGAGGCCGGAGCGCTTATCATCAACCAAGATGGGGTGTCAGGTGCATGGTTTGAAGCTGAGAAGACGGCGGAGGCGGGGACGAGGCCGGAGCGCTTATCATCAACCAAGATGGGGTCTCGGGTGCGTGGTCTCAAGCCGAAGACGGCGGAGGCGGGGACGAGGCCGGAGCGCTTATCATCAACCAAGATGGGGTCTCAGGTGCGTGGTCTCAAGCCGAAGAAGGCGAAGGCGGGGACGAGGCCGGAGCGCTTATCCTCAACCAAGATGGGGTGTCAGGTGCTTGGTCTGAAGCTGAGAAGACGGCGGAGGTAGGGACGAGGCCGGAGCGCTTATCCTCAACCAAGATGGGGTTTCAGGTGCTTGGTCTGAAGCTGAGAAGACGGCGGAGGCGGGGACGAGGCCGGAGCACTTATCCTCAACCAATATGGGGTCTCAGGTTCTTGGTCTGAAGCTGAGAAGACGGCGGAGGCGGGGACGAGGCCGGAGCGCTTATCCTCAACCAAGATGGTGTCTCAGGTGCGTGGTCTCAAGCCGAAGACGGCGGAGGCGGGGACGAGGCCGGAGCGCTTATCCTCAACCAAGATGGGGTGTCAGGTGCATGGTCTGAAGCTGAGAAGACGGCGGAGGCGGGGACGAGGCCGGAGCACTTGTCCTCAACCAATATGGGGTCTCAGGTGCGTGGTTTTAAGCTGAGAAGACGGCGGAGGCGGGGACGAGGCCGGAGCGCTTATCCTCAACCAAGATGGGGTTTCAGGTGCTTGGTCTGAAGCTGAGAAGACGGCGGAGGTAGGGACGAGGCCGGAGCGCTTATCCTCAACCAAGATGGGGTGTCGGGTGCATGGTTTTAAGCTGAGAAGACGGCGGAGGCGGGGACGAGGCCGGAGCGCTTGTCCTCAACCAATATGGTGTCCCAGGTGCATGCTCCCAAGCACGAGACTTCAACCTCAAGAAGAACGAGGCCGGGACGAGACTGGAGGGCGTATCCTCAAAGAATATGCGGTCCCAGGTGCATGTTCCCAAGCGCGAGGCCTCAAATTCACAAAGACAAGGCCGGGATAGGCGTACACTTCACAAGTCGTCGTGATGAAGAGATCGCACAGTCAGCTATGCACGCATGTTCCAGACTAGTCGGATCATGGACCGGTGGCTTTGAAAGGGAGGCAAGCGAGCCTGTGGCACAGCTGCAACTGGGGCTCAGGCGTGCGATAGAAACCAGTAGTTCACGACAGCTCGACGCGATGGATACACCGGTACTTTTCAGCGCCTTAAACTGCACTTGCCGGACGGCAGCAAAGAAATGGACACGTCTACCCCACAACCTGAAGCTGGCCATTTCGCAGTTCACGAGACGCTCGGATTGGGCACTGAGGCTAGGACACCTAGCGCTGATCGGTGCACTCTCCAGGTACCCGATGCTGGCTTCGAGAGCCACAGACGACTTCGACTTTGGCCGGCGACTCCAATACTTTTCAGTCCAGGATCTACAAGGGCTTCCGAGAAACACCAAGAAGACCATCCGTCTCTGCATCGCGAACCTTCGGGCTTTCGAGAAGAAGAAGAAGCAGAAGGAGAGGACAGAGCTCCGGAAGCAGAAGCAGGAGGAACTCCTGAGACGGAAATTCGAAGCAACAAAGATTGTGGTCGAGCGCGCGGCCGAAGCTCTGATAATGATCAGAGAACACATTCGCCGTAGGACACCTAGCTGAAGGACATTGTTTCACACGTGACACAGCAATAACACGGGAAGAAAGGTGAGTTGCGAGAATACATAGATCGTCTTACGTCAGTGTCCGGTGACATTATCTGCAAGCACGATGGGATTGCGAGGCTTGCCTGAAGAAGACAGAAGCAAGGACACGGCCGGGAGGGCTTATCCTCGACCAATATGGGGTTCCGAGATCTGGAAGCTCAGGCTGAAGAAGACGGAGGCGAGGACAAGGCCGGGAGGGCTTATCCTCAACCAATATAAGGTTGCAAGGCGTGAGAGCTCAAGCTGAACGAGATGGATGCAAGGACACGGCCGGGAGGGCGTAACCCCAACCAATAAGGGGTTCCGAGGCGTGGGATCTCAAGCAGAAGACGGCGGAGGCGAGGACGAGGCCGGAGCACTTATCCTCAACCAAGATGGAGCTTCAGGTTCTCAAGCAGGAGACGGCGGAGGCGGGGACGAGGCCGGAGCACTTATCCTCAACCAAGATGGGGTGTCAGGTGTGTAGTCTCAAGCCGAGAAGACGGCGGAGGCCGGGACGAGGCCGGAGCACTTATCCTCAACCAAGATGGGGTTTCAGGTGCATGGTTTTAAGCTGAGAAAACGGCCGAGGCGGGGACGAGGCCGGAGCGCTTATCCTCAACCAATATGGGCTCCACGAGGCCGGAGCGCTTATCCTCAACCAACATGGGCTCTCAGGTGTGTGGTCTCAACCCGAAGAAGGCGGAGGCAGGGACGAAGCCGGGAAGCCTTGTCCTCAACCAATATGGGCTCCCAGGTGCGTGGTCTCCACCCGAAGAAGGCGGAGGCGGGGACGAAGCCGAAGAGCTTATCCTCAACCAAGATGGGGTTTCAGGTGCTTGATCTGAAGCTGAGAAGACGCCGGAGGCCGAGACGAAGCCGGAGCGCTTATCCTCAACCAAGATGGGGTTTTAGGTGCTTGGTCTGAAACTGAGAAGACGGCGGAGGCGGGGACGAAGCCGGAGCACTTATCCTCAACCTAGATGGGGTTTCAGGTGCTTGGTCTGAAGCTGAGAAGACGGCGGAGGTAGGGACGAGGCCGGAGCGCTTATCCTCAACCAAGATGGGTTGTCAGGTACACGGTTTTAAGCGGAGAAGACGGCGGAGGCGGGGACAAGGCCGGAGCACTTGTCCTCAACCAATATGGGGTTTCAGGGAAGGCGGAGGCGGGGACGAAGCCAGAGCGCTTATCCTCAACCAAGATGGGGTTTCAGGTGCTTGGTCTGAAGCTGAGAAGACGGCACAGGCGGGGACGAAGCCGGAGCGCTTAAGTCTCGGGTGCATGGTCTCAAGCCGAGGAAGACGGCGGAGGCGGGGACGAGGCCGGAGCACTTGTCCTCAACCAATATGGGGTTTCAGGGAAGGCGGAGGCGGGGACGAAGCCAGAGCGCTTATCCTCAACCAAGATGGGGTTTCAGGTGCTTGGTCTGAAGCTGAGAAGACGGCACAGGCGGGGACGAAGCCGGAGCGCTTAAGTCTCGGGTGCATGGTCTCAAGCCGAGGAAGGCGAAGGCGGGGACGAGGCCGGAGCGCTTATCCTCAACCAAGATGGGGTTTCAGGTGCACGGTTTTAAGCTGAGAAGACGGCGAAGGCACGGACGAGGCCGGAGTGCTTGTCCTCAACCAATATGGGGTTTCAGGGAAAGCGGAGGCAGGGACGAGGCCGGAGCGCTTATCCTCAACCAAGATGGGGTTTCAGGTGCACGGTTTTAAGCTGAGTAGACGGCGAAGGCACGGACGAGGCCGGAGTGCTTGTCCTCAACCAATATGGGGTTTCAGGGAAAGCGGAGGCGGGGACGAGGCCGGAGCGCTTATCCTCAACCAAGATGGGGTTTCAGGTGCGTGGTCTGAAGCTGAGAAGACGGCGAAGGCGGGGACGAGGCCGGAGCGCTTATCCTCAACCAAGATGGGGTTTCAGGTGCACGGTTTTAAGCTGAGTAGACGGCGAAGGCACGGACAAGGCCGGAGTGCTTGTCCTCAACCAATATGGGGTTTCAGGGAAAGTGGAGGCAGGGACGAGGCCGGAGCGCTTATCCTCAACCAATGTGAGGTCCGAGGTGTGCGGTCTTAACCTGAGGAACGCAAGCCAGGGACGAGGACGGAGGGTTTATCCTCAACCAATATGGGGTCCCAGTCCGGGACGAGGCTGGAGGGCTCATCCTCGACCCACATGGGGTCTTGGGTGCGTGAGAAGGCGAAGGCGGGGACGAGGCCGGAGCGCTTATCCTCAACCAAGATGGGGTTTCAGGTGCACGGTTTTAAGCTGAGTAGACGGCGAAGGCACGGACGAGGCCGGAGTGCTTGTCCTCAACCAATATGGGGTTTCAGGGAAAGCGGAGGCGGGGACGAGGCCGGAGCGCTTATCCTCAACCAATGTGAGGTCCGAGGTGTGAGGTCTTGACCTGAGGAACGCAAGCCAGGGACGAGGACGGAGGGCTTAGCCTCAACCAATATGGGGTCCCAGTCCGGGACGAGGCTGGAGGGCTCATCCTCGACTCACACGCTTATCCTCAACTAATGTGGGGTTCAAGGTGCGTGGTCTCAACTCGAAAAAGGATGGAAGCGGGGACTCCACTCGAAGAAGACCTAGGCGGGGACGAGGCCGGAGTACTTATAATCCTCGACCAATATGGGGTCCCAGGTGCGTGGTCTCCACTCGAAGAGGACTGAGGCGGGGACAAGGCCGGGGCGAGCATCCTCAACCAATATAGGGTCCCAGGTATGTGGTCTCCACCGGGAAGAGTCCATGAAGTACAAGCAGGCTCATTGGAATGTCTGTGGAATGCCTGCCCGAACTGGGGCACAAGTTGAAAGCAGGCCATGCATCTGTTCTGCGCAGCTGCAAGGTTCAAGCTGAAACCCCAGTCTCCAGTCAATTTCTCCTCATGGATAAGCCAACTCTGCTGGCTTGTCTTACCTGTACCTGCACAAGTGCACAGAAGTGGCAGCGGTTGTCCGCGTACCTGAGGGGGCTGATCCAGGAGTACACCTCGAAATCAGATTGGGCCCTGAAGTTACCATGCCTGTCGCTACTAGGATGCCTGGTCAAATACCCAAGGATCGCCAAGAAACTGGCAAGCGATCTTGACTTCGCACGGCGCCTGCGATGCTTCCCCGCCGATGCGTTCACGGGGCTGAATAAATACGTCAAGAAAGATATCCGACTATGCCTCAACAACTTGCAGACTGTCGAACGAAAGCAAAAGGCAAGGCTCAGAAGACGAAAACAAGATGAGATCTGGGAGCGGAGGCATGCGGCAGCAAAGCGCCTGTCCGAACGTACAACCGCGGCTCTGGCAATGGTGGTAGAAGCCATTCGCCGGAAAAGGCTCGGCTGAAGTATGTCGTTTCACTCATCGAAATACAGCGAAATGATCGGAAAATCCGAGCTTTACTCGGTTCCAAGCCGCTGTAGTCCCATTATCTCCATAGTAACATAGTACACGCTTAGTGGAACGCACGGAAGGCCGGCAAAGAGAGAAGGCTGGAAGGTCCGCCAACCCGGCCAGTTGGCTTATACTGAATTCGTGCAGCGTGTTAGGGTGCTGCTATACCGTTTCCCACCATGTCCCAGGTGTATAGC